AGTAATAGAAGACGTGGAGGATCGGCTATTCTTTTTCTGGTATGTATCAGAATCAGATGTTATATCAGAGCTATTTTTTATACGTTCAGGAGTAATATTAGAATTTGAAGTATTATCAGGTATATTAGGTGCCGGTGTATCTTTAGAATTTACTAGAGATTGCGAAACATTTTTTGTAGAAATACTTTTTTCTCCCTGTTCTAATATAGCGAGTCTGGTCTCAAGCTCTTTACCCTTTTGCTCTAATTCCTCGACAATAACATCACGCTTCACATTTTCCTCAATAATTTGCTTCAACTTCGCATTCTCAGCCTCAACCTCAGCAAATCTTAGCAGCTTCTCTCTAAGTTTAGGAATTTCAGTATTCTCTTTCCTAAGTTTGACAATCTCAGTCAAGAGCTTGACATTTAATTCCCATAATGAATCGTTGGATTGCATGTTCGATGATAATTTTTATATGCGATGGAATAATTCAAAAGTTCATTAGCATGAATAAAAAAACGTGGTAATATCTTATTTATGTAAAATAAATTACAAGATTCGGTAATCCATAAACTTGGTTTACAAAGTGAAATGGCGTTTCTATGCTAATGTCTATTGTTTTTCGCTTGTCTAATAATACACATTATCCCACTCCATGGTTTGGTTTCATTGTCCCAATCATCAATATACTGGATGTGTATTATCAGAACCCACCGAAATTTATGTTGTCTGCATTCCGAGATGCTGGTAAGGTCCTTAATTCTGTACGAAAAATGACATTCGCTTGCGAGCCCTGAGTCGTTTTCTCGTAAATGCACACCGAAAAGAAAATCATATGTCGCACATGCGTACTAATAGTAAAATCAATCGTGACGTATATTTTCGTAAGTTTAGTAATTTCACTAAAGATTACGTAAACAGAAAACTGGACTTATATACAAAAATTAATGGAAAGAAACGCCCGTTTTAACTCTCGATTTACGCGTTACAGGCATATCACCGATATCATGGTAATTTGTTTTGTGGTGGGTACCAAAGTTAAGAGCTCCTTTCAAGTTGAAGGTCAGGCAGGAATGAGTATTTCAAAATTAAAGAAAGTAATCTATGAGAAAAATAAGAACGATTTCAAAAATTTTGATGCCAACAAGTTGAACCTATGGAAGGTGGATATTCCTGGCGATGTAGAAAACGATAAATTCGTTAAACTGAGAACACTTGAAAACAGATCTCATAATGAAGAAACTATTATACAAGAGCTTGAAGGACAAGAGTTGACTCCATTTGATGATTTTGGTGATATTTTTGCGTATAGTGACTTGAGGAACATCCAAATTATCGTACAACCGCCTGTCACCACTGGTAAGTGTCTTACCTCTCGAACAAGAAATTTGCGGTTATCTCATCTTTTATTCGATCAGGAAAAAGAAGACGCGAAGACTCGGACTCAGATGAAGAAAGTGGAACCCGAAAAAACGATAAACAAACACGTACGCAATATATTCTGTTATGTCGACTAGTAATCGTGTTCTTATTTTAAAATTCATTTTTTATTTTTTAGCGAAAACCTTGACTTCTCTCCTTGCTTCGTCAATATTGCAACCTCCTGCCAGAACGAATCCTTTTCACAAGTTTTACGATCGTGATCAGGCTCTAAATTCGATGTTAGAAGTCGCTCGCTACAACTACCAGGGTCGCAACAGTCCCGACCACAAAGATCATAAATTTATCATAATTCCTGGAGGGATAGGAATAGGAAAGACACGGATGGGCTGGGAATCAAAGCATCTGTCCTCTATACTGTCAACAAGAAGTAACGACACTGCTGAATTTGTGGAGGCTCTAAAAGATCCCTGTTACGTCTTTATTGACTTAAATAATGGAAGTAAATATATTAAAGGTTTCGATGATGTGGAAGATCCAAGTGTGCGAATAGGAGCGCGTGTTGCAGTGGCTTCAGGGTTGGTGCCTGAGTGTCCTCGTCTACATTGTCTATTAGCAGAAAACGATCCAAAACTCTTCAAACTTTCTGATGTGATATGCGAGATTCTTAAACGTCGCTTTAAAATGCATCAGCGTTCAGTTGAGGCTATTATCATCCATATTGACGAATTTCAACTTTATATTGATGATGTTCAACAATACCAAAAGATGAAATGGATGCAATCTTGCGACTTCTTTAAATCAATGCTAAGGAAGATTGGTAGTGTCATGCGTGGTAATAATATGAAAGATGAGTATGATAAAAAATATTTTATCATCCCGATCTGTACAGGAACGTCTGCCATTGACATTCATTTCTTATCTACGGAGCATACTCAAGAATTGTTTGCTCTCAATCCTTTGAATTATGACTCAGCAAAGTCAATGTTTCTTGATGAGTTCGAATATTCGAGGCAAACAACCGAAACGGAAAGAAATAATGTGGTTCAAGGTCTCAAATTACATTATTTCTCTGATCTTAATAATGAAAATATCGAAAGTCTTTCAACGGAGTTTTGCAACTTTGTCCTGGACCAGCAACACTTTCGCATTGCCATTTTTGACACTGGCTTC